AATAAACTGAAAACAGGCCACCAGCAAGCCAGCCCACTGGCCAGACTTGGCTAATAATAGACCATGAGCTAAGTCACAGCACACTTGTTGACAGCCCTGAGAAAGGCAAGGCGAGAGAGAAAAGTCTCTAATCAAGTTATTTGAATTTGACCGGCAATAAAGTAGTCATCACTTTGTCTGCCCGAAAAAACAGAAAGGCTGTGAAAAGCCAAGAGATTGGAGGAAAAGTGGGGAAGGCGAGGGCCGTGATTCAGAGGGCACGAGGTACCTCTCAACCTATTATGATTCATGCATTTAAAAGCTGTCTTCAGGAGCTGATTATGATTCACTAACACAAAGACAAGGACATTTCATCCTTGGCCATTAAACCATTAACACATATATTATTAACTCAGTGCATTAGTCATTATGTTTAATTGGTTATTGCTCATTCATTTGTCCTTTTTCATTCCTCCTATATTGTAATACATTTACGTACACACACACCCTCACACAGTTTTTCTCATTTATCCAGTGGGTGGATACTTAGGCCATAACAATAATATTATGATTCTATGGGATACACTAAGTGCAGTAATGAAACATTATTATGTACAGTGATTTATTATTCAATGGCTGCTTTAAAACGATGAACTCCCCCTTAGATGAATAAATCACAGCATTTATTGTCGTTTGAGTATGAAGACATGAATGAGTTGATGAAATTTAAGGGGTTTTTAGACTTTCAATCACTTGCTTTTCATTTTCAAGAAGACAGAGCAATTTGTTAGATAATCACAATGTGATCTTTCAGAAAATTATGATGGTTATTATACGTTGACATAACAGTGGAGGGAGATAATTGTATCCCTACACCGTTGCATGATAGTTGAGGAAACTAGTGCCATATTTAATTAGGCATTAATTCACTTTTCAACTTAATTCTCTCTCCCACTCCTTGCTGCTCTCTCGCACTCTCCTCCTCGCCGCCCGTGACCTCGTCACCTTGGCGCAAGTGGCATGAGGAATGACTTCGGTTCACTTTTGGCGGAGGTTGAAAGATGCAAGGAAGGAGCAAAAGGCCAACTATCACTGGGGGGGAGGGGAGTTTATGTTCCCTTGGCTGCCTGAACCCAAGTCCTCTTTCACTGCTCCTCCCAGCTCCCTCATTCCCTCCTATTGTGTGTTCGCTGTAGTAGCATCTGGTTAATGGGCCTCTTCAGTGGATAGTCTCTTCCATCTTCTTACATACACACACATTTTGTGCAGGCATACAAACACACATACAGTACAGATAGTTTAGTTTTGAATCTTTTTACTATATCTTTTTTCCCTCTTTTTAAGACGTCTTAGTAGAAAAGTCTGTTGCTTTGGAACTGGTTGAATGTGGGAAGGACATTTTGTGAAGGACATTTAGTAATTTTGAGTCTTCCTATTGGATATAGGTTTGTATTGTATGTGTGTGTTATTATAGGCATTAAAAAGATTATTCTGGACAGTGCAGCAGTTGATATTAGCTATTGGAGGGGTCATATAAACATTATTTCTCTCTCTCTCTCTC